AGAGGATCAGACAACATTGAGAGGGTAAAGGGATAGAAGAGTAGAAGAGTAAAGACAAAGGGAGAAATTATCTCCAAATAAAGGTAGAACATAAAGAGAACAAGATATAAAACACAGTGAGACTACACCAAATCATCCCAGATCTTGGGGTTCAGAAGCAGAGAGAATTCCAGCTCCAGGCCAACCTGGACTCTTTGGAAGAGCCTATCTCAGATAATAAGTAAAAAAGTGAACAGGATAACTACATCGAAATTAGATATTGAACAGAGAAAGTACCAATGAGAAACAGAACTGGGTGGGGTTATGGTGCAGAAGTGTCCTAGTCACTAACAGAATTGCAGATGCAGAATCTTGTCCAGTCCTTCATGTGGGTGAAGATCCAGCATTCCCCCTGCCCCCGTGACCCTTGTGTAGGTGTGAGTGCCGGACATGCTCTGTGCTGCGTCTTGCCTGGGTGCAGCTGCAGGGCCTGCCTCTGTGACCTCCTCAAGTCTAACAACCAGATGTCCACCCAGAGGAGCATGAGGTGATTTTGGCTCCTTTCTATCCAGAGGTGTTCTGCAGGTCGTGTCTCAGAGGAGAGTTCTATGATGTCGGCTCTGGTCTCCCAGAGCAAGTCATCCATAGAAAGACCTTTGCTTCTAGTACCCTGTGTCCTTTGACTTACTTAGCCTGGGTCTTTAAAAAATGGCTTCTTGCCACTGATTCAATCCACTGCTGAGAAGAAAGAATGTTTCCAGACTCAATATAACCCCGAGATCCTTACCTAGTTGGACTGAAAATATGTGGAATTATTGCATTTATTAATTCCCATGAATTGAACCATCCTTGCTTTTCAGGTACAAGGTCCACTTGGCCATCACATTGGTGTTGTTGTAACACTAGCCTTACACCATGAGTTTGGGAGTCTTTCAGGGTTTGAGAATGATTGGGATTCCTTGTCTTTTCAATGTTTCTGGTCATTTGTATGTATGTGACATCAGTTGTAATGTCTCCCTCTTCATTACTAACTTTAGAAATGAAGATTTCTCTCCTTTTTTTATTTAATCGAGGTCTTGTCAATTTTTCTCTTTTGGTCCTTCTTTAAAAAAAAAAACTTGCCTGCTCAGGATCTACAGGCACCTTCCATGCCACACCCAAGAGCTCTACCCAGCCAGATCCCGCACATCCTGCCTACAGAGACCATTACAGAAAACTACAACCAATCAGAATGCAGAAAACAAGTGGCCATGTAGTGGTACACGCAGCTAGTACATCTACAACATAATTCTTGCACCTAAGGCTCAGGGAACATGGAGGAGAGGTGACCAAAAGATTTTAAGAGCCAGAGGGATAAGAAGTCTGCTGTGAGGTTGAATCTCCTAGAGACTACAGGGAAGCTGCATACTTGAGCTCCCACAACATGGGTGTTAAAACAAGACACGAACAAGGAAGACATCAACAGACACCTGACATGAAGGACAGAAAGCTCACAGGAATCCATCCCATACATTTTTTCTTAAATGTATGGCCACCCCCACTCACTCTCCATTATTTAAAATCTTTTCATCTTTTATATTCTTAGCCTCTAACATGAACGTATTACATAGAACATGTATTTGGCTCTTGTTATCTGTAATTCATTATTCAAATTTATTTCTTTTATTTGGAGCATTAATGTTCTTAGTTACAGTTTTCTGGTAGGAAGGGATTTATGGTTGTCATTGCAAATTGTTTTCTATTCCGCAGATCCTTGTTCTGTCTTACTGTATTTATTTATGTTTTGTTGAAAGTTTCCGAGTGAGACTTTATTTCGTGCTTGTTTCTGTTTGACTATATTCTATGGATTTTCTTTGTAGGTACCAATGCATTTTACATAAATTACATCTTTGAGTCATATTGCTTCCACTTGAAGCTAATAACGTCAACTGAGCATTCAATTATGTTTAAAAATTCTAATTCCATATCTTTCTTCCCCCTTTTAGTTATTGTTGATGACAAAAATTCCCTTTTTAAGTTGTGTACCAACACGAGTCTACACATACATTTTGGTTTAAAAAATATTCTATATCAGATTTGCTAGTGATTCACTCACCAATACTATAGGACTATACAACTCATTTTCTGAGAGTTTTAGATTTTGACCTGGTTTTGTGTTGGTATATGTAACTTTTGTTTCAAATTTTTTGACTCCCTTCAGCTTTCTTTAGGGCAGGGAAGTGAGATGAACTCCCTCAGTTTCTGTTTAAAAGGAAAATCTTCAGTTCTTCCATATTCTTGAAAGAGGACTTAGCTAGCCTTGATTCTCTTAATCCGGAGGGACTTTTTATCTTTCAGAGCTTTGAATATATAACTTTATCCCCTCCTAGCAAGGGGAACTTCTGGGAACTGACAGTTTAACAGGAGCTCCATTACATAGTGAGTCACTTTTCTCTGGCTGTTTTCAAAGCTTCTCATTGTCTGTGGCTTCTGACAATTTAATTATGACATGCCTTGCGAGTCCCATTAGATTTACGCTCTTTAGACTGGAATTCGTTAGGCTTCCCAAATTTGTGTATTCAATCCCTCATCAGGTTTGGGGAAATGTCTATGATGATTTTTTTGAATGTGTTGCCTGCTCCTTTTTTCTTTCCTCATCCTGGAAGGGCCATTCACAGCACTGTTGTCCTCAGTGCTGTCCGGAAGTCCCCCTGGAAGTGGGCTCTGTTATTTTCCCTGCAGATCTGTTCCCCCTCTTTGGCCCTTTAAGACATCCTCTTCTCTAGCTCGGTGATTGTTTTTGAAGTCTGCCATGGAGACCATCAAGTGAGCTTTTCATTTCTGTTCCTGCACTCTTCAGATCAGAACTTTCCTCTTGTTCTTTTCATAGCTGTTCTGAATTGGGAATTTTACTTTGTTCATGAGTTAGTTTCTGGATCTCATTGACTTACATATCTATGTTTTCCTTTACTGAACATGTTTAGGGTTGTTATTGTTCACTATTCATCTGGCAACTTACAGCTCTCTCTCTCACGTGCTCTTTCTCTCTCCCTTAAAAAAGTACATTTTCAGAAATTTAACTTGTTCCTTAAAATGTGTCACTGTTTCCTATTTCTTTGCGTGTCTCAGCATTTTTGTTATTGTGATTTTGACAATTAAAAATTACACATGTCTCCCGGACTTTGTGATTCTTTTTAAATAAGAGGAATTTTCCCTACTCAGCTAGACATTCTGGAAATCTCTCAGGATTTTTCTGTACTCATTTCTTCTCTGAGCTGCGGGTATAGTCTATTTGGGGAGGTTTCCCCGTTTCTACCAGGAACTCCCTCTGATGTCTGTGATTCCGTAGCCCACCTGGCACTGTGGTAAGCCATGATCCAGGTGTCCCATGTATTTCTGCCACACAGTAGAATCTGGCTGACCACCCTCATTCTCTCTGACTTCCCAGATCTGGTGGGCTGTTTCTTCTGGTGTGGTCCTGTGACACATGACAGAATCCAGCCCTGGTTCGGAAAGTCTGACATCTAGGAGTTGGAGGTTTCTTCTCTATTACCTGGTACTGTATGCAGGGTGTCCTAGGGAGAAACAACTAAGGACATCACAGATTTTCCACAGGGCTTCATCATCATCTGGGGTGTAGGAATATTTACTTGGTTTCTGGAATTTCCACAGGTATCTTTAGAACGTTGTTATTAAATTCATGTTCTGGTGGGGGGAGGAGATGCAGGCACTCTCTGCTCATCATCTTGCTGATGTAATTCTTCTGACTTTTATAGACAGAAATACAGCGATTTGTAGCAGTTTTCCCAAAATAAGAGCACACAACATGAGGTTTTTTTTTTTTAATGATTCATATCGTCCACCACCTTTGCTGACAATGGTACTGAGCCTGATGTCTTTAAAATGACCGCTTTGAGACAGGAAACTGTTCGCCCTGTTTCTATCTTGCTCCCTCTATCTAAAATCATTTGTTTCAACTGAGAGAAGATTCCCCCTTTCCAATGGACAGCTAGTCTAAGCACAAGGCCGTTACATCCTGTCTAAGCAGGTAGGGGAATGGCAGGAAGAGGAGCCATGTTAGATCCCTACAGGCTATAGTAACCTCTAGGAGGCTCTTCTCCAGATGGAAAGAGCAGGAGGAGTGGAACACCAATGAGCAAGAGATGACAGTTTGTAAGCAAAATGACACAAGGCCCTGAGCCCTGCCAGGGAGCCATTTGTAAAGCATGAACTGCCAAATGCACTCGTATGGGCCCCGTGGCACAGAGGAGCAAGACTCTCAGCTGTCTGCAGCATTTCTTAGCCATGACTAAGTCCCCGAATTGGCTGCCAGTTAGTTCTACAAGTTGGTGAGACTCCAGAGACTTAGGTCACAGAAAAGCATGTCAGGGAAAGAAACAAGTGAAACTGATCTTCCGACAAGCTTTCTGGAATAGTCAGTTCTGAGGCCTGGCAGCCTTAATATCCTCTGTCAGCGAGACAGGCCACTCTCTAGCGGCTGGTGGGGTGGACAGGAACCACTGAGCCCAGGGTGCTCCACCTGCTATAAAGAGGGCTGCTGCAGTGGAGCTGGAGCCGCGCAACAGGGCACTTGCTGGTTCTTCCCTGGGTCATTCAATAGCACACGCTCCCTCACAAGTTTATTAGGAATTGTCGAGAAAGGTAATCCAATCCCTGCTCTGGAATAGAGGAGGCTGTAGACTCTATACTGTGATTCCAACGTCCAGGAAAGAAGGGGCTGTTTAGTTTGTCACTGTATCTATGGTCCCACAGGTGCCAGAATATAATTTTGTATAGAGGCAAAGCCCAGTGGAATGACCAACTATGGGATAGTCTGTAAGTGGGTGTGGGCCTTTCTTGCATTTATTTCATGTGGTCTAGATGCCAATCCTTTCTGATTATATGCCTCTAGACAATTTGCAATTTCTCAAAACTCTCTCTCTCTCTCTCTCTCTCTCTCTCTCTCTCTCTCTCTCCCCTTCCCTTCTTTCCTCCCTCCCTTCTTCCCCCCTGTTTTGTTTAGCTCTATTTCCATCTGTAAGGCAGAAATCCTACGTGCAGGGCTCTTGGAAGGATGTTGAGGTGATTTGTCAAGGTTTTAATAGGCTGATTGTTGCTGTTTTTGCGGTGACCGTGGGAACAGAGCTAATAATGAGGGCAGGGAGATGGCGCTCTGTTTTAGGTTGGATGGAAATGGTACAAAATGACCAAGTGAGATTCTGAGGAGCACAGCCATGAAACAAGATGAGATGGAAGGTACGCAGACACGCAAAGCCCCAGGCCTTTTTCTCCTGCGATCTGTGTAACTACCCTTTGTGCCTTGAGCCCCACACGAGGGAAGTTCTCCTGAGGTGTAGAGTGTCTTGCTTCTGTCTGATCCCTGTGCACTTTATATTGTATATTGCCCACAGCAAGCAGTAGACATTTGTTGGAGTTCTTTTTTTTTTAAAATGAAGGAATGATTTGATGAAGGGTGACATCAGTGCAGTGGCCGGAGAGGAACGAAGAGCAGAAATTGCTCTCTGAATGTAATTTGTCCAGGCAGAATCCAAACCCTTCTTGTCATTTCCTGATTTAAAAACTCTGCTGGCTCATTACTGCTCAAGAAATAAAGTTCCAACGTATTAGAAAGGAGCAGAAAGGTCCTTTAACAAACCAGATCCAACCTAAGTCGCTAATCTTATCTCTCATTGTGGTACTTCTCTGACCTCTTGCACGGCCATGGTCCAAGGATTCCGAGTGCGAGCGTGTTAGTCTCTTTCCGGGCCTTTTCCTTACCCCGCAAAACTCCCGTGTCCTTTAGAGCGTCAGCATCAATCCTTCGAGCGCTGTAACATGCTCCCTCATGTTTCATTGCATACAGTCATTCATTTTTTTTTCATTCTTTTGTTCTTTCATTCAGCAACGTTTTCCTCGGTGTCTGATGTGAGTCAAACACTGGCAGGAGTCCTGTCCTCATGACACACTCATTCTGAGGGGGGTATTTACAAAGGAGAGGCATGTCAGTGGTGTTAGGAGGGGGTAGAAGTGAGGGTTAAGGATGAGTCGAAGAAGGTTACGAGTCTTTTTATTTATATAAAATATGATCCATCAGTCAGAATTGGCTGGATATGTTGCAATAACAAACAATCCCTAAAATCTTAGTGGTTTGTAACAACACTTTGCTTCCAGTTCATACTTTATGTCCACCGAAGAGGATCTGGGATTTGGATTCCTGACTCCTCACTCTGAAGACAGGCTCTAGGGGAAATTTCTAGCTGCCCTCCTAGAGGAGAAAGAAACAATGAGACATACCACCAACTCTTAAAAGTTTTACCCGGAAATGGCGTAAGTTGGATATCCTCACATTTCCTTAGCCTAAACAGAACCTATGATCAACCTGAGTTAAATAGGACATAGAACATTTCTCCCACCCCCATGAAAGGAGAATGAACAAGACGTGTGAACAGCTCTAATGCTTGGTACACATGGACAGTGAAAACCTCCCTGAAAAGGAGATGTTTGAGCCAAATATCATGAAAGTAGGGAGTTAGCTAGCAGGTTGGAGTAATTGTCAAGCCCCACTTCTCAGACTAAGCAGCCTGGGGTTTTCTTTGAGTCCTTTGTCTATTTGTGGCCCACAGCCAGTCCATCTCAGTAGCTGGTATCAGAACATCTGGAACTGCCTTTGTTACTGGCTCAACATCTTCTGGGGAAACAGCTGCCTACTAGTTTCTGTTTGCTTCTCTCTGCAGCCTGGCCTCCTCACATCGCCACAGGGATCCTTCTCGAATCCACATTGTCATGATGGATATTTCCTGCCCAGAGCCTGTGGATTTCTGCCTCGATTTGAGTGAAAGTTGAAGTTTTTCTAGGGTCTCACACAATCCATGCCCTACCTACCCTGGTATCTCTGCAGCCTTCACCATTGCTTTCATTTCCGGTCACTTTGTGCCAGACACTAACCATGCTATGCTTTGTCTGCTCCGCCTTTGAGATACAGTTAAAAAACGTCTATGCTATTGTTCTATTTGTTTTTCCCAAGGACTTATTTTGTTCTCATGTTATTCATTTGTGACTCTTAGTAAAAACATCATGTATGGCACAGTGATTATCATTGTATATTGGAGTGGAGAATGGAAGACTGGCTGGCTGGATAGGGAGATGATAGACAAAAACATGGATGGATTGGATAAAAGTGTAGTTGTATGGAGGGATGGATTAAGTAGATAAAGAGGCAACCTTCCCTCCTTGGAGCTGTGGTGTGCACTGTGGGATTCTCTGACTTGTTATTAACCAGCCTCTCAGAATTATGAGGACAGCCTGACTGCAGAGGGCCCAGTCTGAATTTAATCTGCATTTTAAGGAGATCAAAAATACTCAAAATATTTTCTTTCCATCTGAAACAGATTCAAATTTTGAAGTCATTTTATTTTCTTGTAAGATGAGTCAACCCTAAGAGAGAAACAGACTCTGCTGGTCAACTTTAGGTCATTTCTGAACCCTGTCCTTTGTCTCCCTTAACTCAGGAGGCAGGAAAGAAGACATAAGTAGCCTATTAATGCATGGCATTGGAGTCAAACACGTTAGAGTCTTTCCAGACTTTGTTTAAACTAATACATTTTATGCTCAAGGCTTGCGGTTAGCTTCCTCAGAGATGAATATGAAATCTGCCCACTTCTGCCCATGTGGCTGGCCCTCAGGGACCTAAAGCAATGAAGTGTGTCCCAGAAACACATACACCTGAAGCATAGGTTGTGACGTTTGCTGTGAAGACAAATGGTAATATTTAGCGTAAGTCTAGAAAAACAGGACAGAGAAGATACCAGAACAAACCCCGGCTGCACCTGTTTACACAGACGACAATTCCTTTCCTTCTTGGAGAGAAGAACATGATTCCTCTCCAGTCAGAAGCAAAGCAGTCATTTGGTTTTGCTACATTTCATGGCGATGGGTTTCTGTGGTTTGTTCTTCTGCTGTGTTTTAAAGTTCCCCCTCCTAGTGCTAATTGAAAGGAAGTGAGAGACCCGTGAGCAGGGATATAGAGAGGTTACCCGGCGAGTACAGAAGCCTTATGTCTTATAGGATCTTCAGGCTGGCTGATGGAAGACTCAAGGCCACACCAGATGATGTGTAGATCCTTACACCATACATAAGGACATTTTCTATGACTGTCTTAAAGTCATCTTTCATAGCCCAACTAGATGGTAAGCTTCTGTTCAGAAGGGTTTATAGTACCTACTTTTAAAACACACCAATGCATCATATGCTTGAGTATTTATGTAGGCCGAAGTACTTAGAAAAAGCATGGAACAACTGAAAGAGGGACAAACAGGAAGCAAGGGCAGAGGGGCCGAGCAGCTGCTGGAATGCTGTGATTTGTTCTTTCGAGAGGACAAATGGAACTTATGATTCATACACACCCATTTAGTCTGTTTTTGAAATATCAACAACGTACACAAGCCTAGATGATTTTTCACTTGTTGTGAAAAGAACAAACAAAAGAAAGAGATATTTGGGGTTCCAGCTTCCTGAAAGAACAGCCGAGAGAGTAGGGTCTGCCAGTAAACTAGGTGAGGTCACCGTGTAAATGAAGGGGTGATTTCAGTTTAAAGGACTCGGGACACAGTCGTAGAGCAGGAGTTAAAGAAGCTTTACAAGGGATGGAACACCCATGTGCACAAGGCTACGAGGTCCGGGCTCATTTTCTCTCTAGTTATAGAAGATTTTCAATGCGATCTCTGTTGTGCCGGCAGGTTTTGTGTCAACTTGACATGAGCTAGAGTTATTTTCGAAGAGAAACCTCAATTAAGAAAATATTCCTACCTTGTGAGCATGCGAGAGCTGTTCCCATTTCTCATTTGTCTCATAGTGGCATGGAATAGGAGAGATGCCCCCCCCCCCGTTCCAATCAACTCCTGAGGCAGGTGGGGGTGCTGGCCATGAGGTCATAAGAGTGGAACAGCTGTCCCTGCCCTGCACTAACTGCAGCACTTAGGAACGGGCCCCTGCGCCTTGCCAGGGCAACACAGTAGAACTGACCCTGTTCATGGAGGTATGAGTGAGCCAGCCCTGAGGTGAACATGGGAGAGCTGTCCCCACCTGTGGCAGCATGGGTGGAAGAGAGCTGGCCCCGAAGAGGTAGGTGTGGGAGAACCAACCCTGAAGACATGAAATAGCCCCACCCCTTGCTCATGGCTGCAAGGGGTGAACTAGCCAGGGCAATGCTGGAGACTTCACCCTGGTGGTGCAGACAGGGGAGAGCTGGTGGGCTGGCCAACCCTGCAACTACGCAGGCCCAGAACCAAGGCCCACCCCAATATCCTGCCCATCTGTGATCTCCTGGAGCCTGGGAAGGGGCCAGGGTCAGTCCTGCGGACTCAGGGCTGCAAGATCTCCCGGGACAGGACAACAGCGGGCTGTCCAGGAAGAGTCCCAGTGAGGACCTAGCATCAATGATACAGCAGAGACATGGGGACTCGAACCAGAGCAATGATCTTAGGGATAAACGCCTGCATGTGAAAATCTATGAATAAACAGCTGCTTGGCTCTATCACACTGCAGCTTCCATGATGAAATTCTCCCTTTCCTCTTGTCCCTTTCTCCTCTTAAATGATTTTATTTTGTGGGGAAGGGATATGGGTGAGATTCAGAGACATGTGGAGACATGATATGGAAGACACAAAGAATAAATAAAAAGAAAGTTAAAAAACAAAGAAGGAAATATTCCCACCAGACTGCCAGTGGGCAAGCCTGAGCTGTACTTTCTTGATTGATGATTGATGTCAGAGGGTCCAGTTCATTCTGGGAAGGGCTCCCCACATGGGCTGGTGATCCTGGGCATATAAGAAGGCAAACTGAGTAAGGAAGAAGGAGCAAGCCAACAAACAGCATTCCTACAAGGCCTTTGCTTCAGTTCCTGCCTTGGGGTTCCTGTGCTGAATTCCCTTTTGGTTCTTGTGTTTATCACGGCAATATAAACCCTAACTCAGATATCTGTTCTCCTGAGAGCTCTGTTTTCGTGGCAGTCTGTAGTTTGCTAACATCTTCCTGACCATAAGTCATCTGAGAACCAATCTGAGAGCCTCTCATTAGCAGACAGCCCACTGACCCAGCCTGCCTTGTTGTTCCTTGTTGTTCTATTTCTGAAAAAGATTTGAAATCGCTCATATTTCACCTGGGCCCACTGTGAAGTACACATTCTCATTTGTCTGACCCTGCTCTGGGCAACTCTAAAGTTACATGGAACTGGGAATTACAGATACCTGACATTATAACAAAAACAACTTAGGAGACTAAACATAAAATACAAGCACAAAAGATCACCATGGCTAGTCTGGACTATGTGAATAAGGACAGAAGGCTCTTCAGTAGGTTAATCAGGGAATCCAACAGACCCAAATATGTATCAGAACCAGGTCAGATCCTTTTTTTTTTCCTACTGGTTTGTTAAATGTAGCATCTCTTCGGCTTATTTATCCCTAAACTGAAGTTGAATACACTTGCCATGCCAGATTTCCTGTGCTGAGGTAATAAATGGTTTTGAAAATATGTGAACATGATACATCAGGGTGAGGTCTGTGACAATGGCCATAATTTTTTCTGAGCAAAAGAGAGAAGAGTTAGAGAGTCAGAAGTGATCAATGTTATTCACAACAGAGAACTTCCCAAGGGGCTATCACAAAGCTGCCACGTTTTATTAGTTTGTCTAGAGATGAGGGAGGCTCAGTGGTGATGAATTTCTGCTGGTAACACTGGACATAAACACCTGAATAAAGGTGTTATAAAGAAATAACGGAGGCCATTGTGTTTCTATGGAGAAGAAAAAGCAAAGAGTCATCTCAAGTTTAGCTTGGAGAACCGATGAATTGATCATAGCTAGTTACAGGAGCAAAGGCAAGAGGTTGCTTCTAGAGGGCTAGTTAACCTAAAGGCAGCTGTACCACCGAGAAGGCTGTCCCAGCAGAAGTGATGGCTTAGCTTGTTGACATCTCCAGAACTGTGAGGAAGGCATTTCTCTTGCTGATGCTGCCCAGTCTGGGATACTTCGTTAAGGAGGCCCAAGACATCAAAGGTAGAGCATTGCTCCTGACTTCCCTCTCTGGTGGAAGAGGGCAAGAACCCAGGAAGTGGACTCTAAGAACCTCTGAACAAGTCTATTCTCACGTGCATGCTCACAATGTATAAGAAACTAGGGCAATAACAATGGGGTGGGTCTGGGCTCTCACTGAGTTTCCTGTGTGTGGAACTCAAGAGGAATTTGTTGGGCTTAGGACTCTCATAACCCGTTCCAGAGAATGAGAGCTAAACTCGGTGCGTGGACATTAGTGTTGCCTAGGGACAGGGTTTAATGTCCTGAATAAGTTAGCTGTTTCTTTTCTCTTAGCAAATAGCCACCAGGTCCCTTGAGAAGCCACAGACTGATCTATACAGTACAAATGTGATAATTACATGCTCTTGCTTAAGTAACACAACCTACCTAACTCTCTTTTCAAGGCCTGGTAGGCTTTAAGTTGGTTCCCTCTTTTTAAAAAAATGTATATATAATTTTTGATGCCTCAAGTACAGCCTTTGTTCATAATACTTAATGCTTGAGAGTTTGGCCAATGATATAGAAGTGTTTTTTAAAAATGTGGTCTTTTTTTAAGATTTATTTATTTATTATGTATACAACACTCCTTCCATGTATGCTTGCATGCCAGAAGAGGGCACCAGATCTTATTATAGATGGCTGTGAGCCACAATGTGGCTGCTGGGAACTGAACTCAGGACCTCTGGAAGAACAGTCAGCACTCTTAACCTCTGAGCCATCTCTCCAGTCCTAAAATGCGGTCTTTATTTTTGTTCTTAGGTTGGTATTTTTCAGTGTGTCTCTGGATTCTGGTATCATTATAACCTGGGGAGTTATTTGAAATGCTAATCCTTGGTTCCCACCCACATTTACTGAGTCCTGAACTTTAGGGATGGGGCCCGGGCATCTATCCTGTTTTTATTTATCTCTTGTGCCTTAATAAACTTCCTGGTGTTTATAATGGTCTCAGAACCACTGAACTCGCTACTCATACAGCTCA